TGGGGACTGTTTGTCTTCAAGCAGCAGTGTTTCACAGCAGTCTCATACAGGTCCATTTAAAAACTGGACTCTGCTTGCTTTCTATAGGAATACGAACCGACTGCCCACCAAGAATGACATGTGGAGAGCAGGCAGGGATGGAGCCCTGGCCCCCGACCTCCCATCCAGGCCTGCTTCTGCTGGTTGGGGTCCAGGCCCACTTCCCCACTCCTCACTGGCAGGAGGGACAGTGGGGAGCAGCGGGCCAAGCCAACCTGGCAGCAGTGGGGGAAATGGGAGGAGTGGGCCCAGGCCTGCCATGCATCCTGTCCCTGTCTTCCCTGGCCTACAGTGTTCAGCACATCCTGCACCCTGCTCTGCCCCCACCCCAGGGACTCAGACTGGCTACCCCTTTGTATTTGGGCTATGCCTGCAAACCAGTCAAGATTTAGGGAGCCTTTTATTTTTTTTAAAGGGAGCCGGACAACTGCCAGAGTTTTAAATTTGCCCATTTTCTGAGCGCAAGGCACACGGAAGTCAGAAGAGCCTGTGGGAATGCATGGCTGTCGGCTATAACATTCTCAGAAAAAAATTTGGTGATGGGAACAGAAAGACATAAGGACTGCAAAAAGCAGCTAACACCACTGATATTCATTCTCATCCACCTGGCTTTCTCCATGTCGAAAGCTATGGCAACATCCAGAAACAGGAATGCAGAATGGAATTTAAATCTAGCTTATGTTTAAATCACTAATACAATTTTTCTGCTGAATTGCATCTATGATTCATCCCAGTGAAGCTCACTGCACCTCTCTGCATGCTCCTTTAAAGTTTGAACTTAAGACCAATGCAAGGTCAGCTGTTCTTGTGCTCAGGTGCCGACCATGGCACAACAGTTCAATCTCTGAAAGGCTTTGGGATAAAATTTAAGGGTTTGCAAATTGGGCATTTGTAAATTTATCTTTAACTGGCTGTATTTGCAGTGCTGCAAGCATACATTAAAAGTACCTCAAAGATTTGTAGCAGATTTTTTAATCTGAAAAATACAATATACAGAACAGGGTTCAGAAAGAAAATCTCAAGTCCTCCAGGTGAAGTATCAGAGGAATGTTTCACAAAGTGTTAAGGAGAGGATTAGAGAAGAGGGAGGGTACTTGGTATACAGCAGTCAGTCACTCTCAACCAGGATGCCATGGCACCCTAGGGTGCCTTAAGATCCTTTCAAGGTTACCACACAATATCAGCACTGTTAAGTTCATAAACATAATTCACAAGATAAACCCAAAGTTTTCGAACAGGAATCCACAGTATCAAAAGCATTATGACCTGTTGCGGTCTTTGAGTTCTTTGCAACAGAATAATTGCTCTTTTATTTTTTCATAGTCAAAACACAAGTGAAAATTAAGAGCTGGCACATGCCAAAGGGTGCCTTGCATCTACTGAGAAGGGCCTCACGTCTGAATATTTTGAGAACCATGGGTGGACAGGAAACTATATCAGACAACACAGTATGAAAGAAGGGCACTACAGAGAATACTAAACAGGGGAACATTTAAAGAATGAAGGAGCATCATAAGCAAACAGTGTTGGCAAACATGAAGTGCAAGGTGGGGTTCAGGCCAGAATGAACATACATTTTACCTTCAAGCCTAACAAGGAGGAAGATCCAGTTGTTCAGATGCTAACCTGGACCTTTGGAAACCAGATGTACATAGACTTCTTGTGTGATCATAGGAAAGCAACATAGTGTCTCTGTATTGGGGGTGGGTTTCAACTACTTTCCTACCTCAGAAGTATTGAGAGTACTTCCGCAGCCCTCCTGTTTAGCCCAGCGTGAAGGAAGATAAGGGAGACCAGCAAAGAAATTCAGTTGTGTGTTCAAACTAACAGAAAAGGGATCAGTAGAGGATAAGCAGGAGAGTCACCCAATTTGCCCGATGTTGTCTAATAAGTTACCCAAGTCCTCACTAACTGAAGTTTGGCAAAGGCAGCTCATTACAAATGCAGCTGTGCATGTGCAGATATTCATCCTTCCTTCTTTGGAATCAGTGACAAACTTAGGGCATGCAAGTAAGAAATGCAAGTTATTTACCAATTAACTAATCGTGGGAAGAACTGCTCATTTCTGCATTTACAATATGCTGGGACAAGAACAATGCTTAGAGCTGCAGGTGTCAGATTAACAGCATAAATTTTTGCAAGACCATGCGTCAGGTATGCGTGTTTTTGGCAATATTTCTATACTAACAGAAGCCTTGGCATCCATTCAGAAACACCAACATAACTTATTTCATCCAGAGCCCAAATACAAGTTACACAAGCAAAAATGCCTCTGCTTGCATAATGTGCCTCCATGTTAGCAGCGGATGCCAGTATTGCTTAACCAGGCAACTTTCTAGTTCTTACCGGGTCCAAGAGCTACAGGGGTAGAAATTTTAGGCACATTACAATGTATATTTTATTGAAGCAAGCAAGCAATTGTTCAAGACACTCTGTAGCAGCAGAAGTCAAGAGCCAATGTAAACCTTACATGTAAAGTGATGGTGCTGGGTGAGCTAAATTATTCACCACAATTTATTTGTTTTTTCAACTAGGCTAGAAAAACAGTGATTTGTTAACTAGTTTGACATGGGATCCAGGTTCTTTTACTCTGTTTGCTTTTTGCCAATTTTCCTCCTGCTTTTCAAAGTGAAAACCATGGCAGCAATTAAGACTCATCTCTTGAATAGAGATGCTTCTAAGCACTATTTAACGGGCTGCAACAAAACAGAGCAGGTTTAGAGGGAAGCAGAACAGTAAAATCTTGAAGTGTGAACAGGACACATCACATTAAAAGAGCTGAACCTAAAAGCAGTAGATCAAAGGTTGGACTCCCTGACCCAGCCTATTTACAGCAAAAGCTGAGTTATCCGGCACCTTACAAGCCGGCATGCTCTGTTAACTGGCATGGCAGCTTGTAAGGGAAAAGTGAGACCGGAAGTGCCCACCGTGGCACTTCCAGTTTTGCAGAGCCCGCACAACCCGGGACATATATATATGTCCAGTTGAACACAATGTGTTATTGATATATTTACAATTTTAAAGCAATTTGGAAGCTTACCAGTGCCCCTCAATCGTAATTAAATCAATTATAAATACCTATATATTTTGGCATTTGATTTTGAAGAAAGATCAGAGCACCCACTGCCCCCTTTGCTCACTAGCAATTGTCCCTACCCACTATTTTGTGGCGCTGAGCAGCCCTGACATGCCAGTACCCTTGCCCCTGCCTTTGCCCCTCACTCCCAACCCACATCCCCCCTATGCCTGCTGGTGACCCTCACTCCCAAACTGCAGCCCCTTAGCCCTGTTGTTGCCCCTCACTCCCAACCTGACGTCCCCTGCCCCCAGGCTCCAACCCTCCAGCGTGGGGCAGAGGGGGTGTGGGCATGCAATACACCAGGTAGGCATGGGGCGGCATGCACACCCCCAGATTTCTGCACTCATAGTGAGGCAGGGGGTTGCAGCCTGGCCAGACCAGCAGGCCTTGAGCCCAATAGGTGGGACCTGGTGCGAGGGCGCAGAGCGGGGCAGGAAGGTGCAGCGCTGCCACTACCATCACCAGGAGCGCCACACTGCTGTGAACACCAAAGTGATGCGCCGCAGCAGCGTGGACTTGTGCCCCGCTGCTGCTGCCAGGTAGGTAGGGGGTGCCTCACCTTGGCAACCATGGCAATGCAGTGCTCCCTCCCACACTGGATCCACCCACTGGGCTGCGGAGGCAGCTCCTGCCCAGGGCCAGTGTAGCCAGGCTGCAATCCCGTGCCTCACTCTGGGTGCAGAAATTTGGGGTGGGGGTGGTTAATGCCCCCTCATAACCCGCTGATATGTCACCTATGGGCCCAATCCCTCCCCTCAAGTACATGCAGCAGCGGGGAGCCATGTCCCCATCTCATCCCCTCTCCACCTCTATCCAGGACAAGCTGCCCATGGCTCCATCCCACTCCCCGGCCTGGTCCTGCATTACAACCTGCTCCAAGCCTGAACCCAGGGCACTGCCCCGGCTGGGCAGTACCCCAACCCTAGCCATCAGGCCTGCCCCACTCCCTCCCTCACTGTGTGGGCACAGTGCAAGACACTACCACCACCTCAAATCTCCCCCCAGCATCATCTATGCCCCCCCCCCCACCACAGACTTACCTGCAGTGAGTTTTGGGAGGTGCTCTCCATCATGCTGCCTGGCTCTATTGCCAGCCACATGAATGTGTATGCATGCACATGCACATGGTGCCCCCTGCCTCTGATCACCCTCCTCCTGCTCCCCCCAGCCCCAGGCAGCCCTTTGCAGGCTGGAACTCTGCCTGCCTCTACAAGGTTTTTCTTCTTTAAAAGGATTTTCCCCTTTAAAGAAGAAAATCCATGTTTTTCCATATTTTTCCACAGGAAATGGAAAAATCAGGATCCATGGGAATAAGAGTCATATAGTATCTCTTTGCCAACTTTTTTTTTTTTTTTTTTTTTT